ATCAATCGATTTATCAGCATGTAAACTAATTGCATCAAAACTAACCATGTTTCTCTTCTACCTTAATGCATATCATGTAATTAACAGCGGACATGCTCACACCACTACTGCAAAAGGTTTGCAAGGAAGGAAGGAAAGCTACCCGCCTATCTACTGGAAGAAGAGCTATCATGTCAAACTTCCAAAGAAGGGAGACCTAAGCCTTTAGAAGAACTGGCGCCCAACCATGCTTGTGCCCACTCCAAGCAAAATACTAGGCCGCACCATCCAGGAAAGACTAAAAAATACTTTGGATTCAAAATAACTACCGAAACAGGCTGAATTTAGTAAGAACAAATCATCTACGGATCAAACTGCAACGCTACGCTATGCATCATCATAGAACAGAGCATAGAATGGCAGTCAACTCTCTACCTTACTTCAACTTCATCGATTTTGAAAAAGGCTTCGACAGCATCAACCAAGAAGTAATTTGACAGGCAGCTGCTTCAACAATACGGATTTAGTGCCACAAACCTTTATCAACTTCATTCAACAGCTATATGCTATATGATGAGACTACATGCCAAGTGATTCACAATGCAAAGCTCAGTGACACCTTCAAAGTGAAGACAGGAGTAAGACAAGGTTACCGCCTACTATCACCAATCATCTTCCTGATTGTGGTCGACTGGACTGGACTCGATCATGCAACAAACGACTGTGAGAAGCTGTGAGAAGGCGGGGATACGCTGTCTGACCGATGAAAACACCCTAGAAGAAGATATGGATTTCGCTGCCGATGATGATGATGGTGATTTATGTCTGATGGCTTGTCGTACAAACATGAAGGTCTATAGGCGAAAACCAACAAGTCGACAGGAGAGACAAGTCAGAGAAGACGCAACCTCAAGTGAATGTAGAGAAGACGGAGGTGATGAAGATACCCAACCAACAACAACTACAACAACAAAAAGCACCAATCACCGTGAACAGGGAAACGTAAAGGAAATAGTCTCTCCACCTACCTGCCTACCTACCTACCTACCTACGTACCTACCTACCTGCCTACCTGCGTACCTACCTACCTACCTACCTACCTACCTACCTACCTACCTACCTACCTACCTACCTACCTACCTACCTACCTACCTACCTACCTGCTTACCTACCTACCTACCTACCCACCTACCCACCTACCTACCTACCTAGGCAAGGCAGCATCGTTTCAACTACAGGCGGCGGCAGTCCGACAGATGAGGATGTCATAGCAACCAGGATCGGAAAGACAGCAAAACAGGTCTTCCTGCATTTATCTGAAATCAGTGTGGAGATCTACTGCACTGCACTGCACTGCACTCAACATAAAGTGTGAACAAGATCTGGTTTTTAACAATAATTCAGTCAAGTAAGTCAGTGCTTCTATGTGATGGTTGAGAGACTTGGCGGCACGTTACGAAAAGCGTTTGCAACAAACTACAGATATTCATCAACAGCTACCACCTACGCTCACTCGATACTGAAGATCAGATAGATGGGTAGAGTAATAAGAATGAGCAAGGAGGAACTCATCATGGCTGGTAACGAACCAACCAAGAACCCATCGCCCAACAAATATACAGAAGCAGAAAGTGGAGATGGATTGGATTGGATTGGCATACATTGAGAAGACCTATCTGGGACATCACGCGCCACGCCAGGTCCTCTAGTGGAACCCAAAGGGGAAACTAGGATTTGGGCGTCCGAGGTGAGGTTGACATGGAGGAGATGGTGTGAGGAAGGAATGAAGGCTTGTGGGCAGTCGAGGGACGAGGTTTGAAAGACCGCAGAGAAGAGAATGAAATGGCGATGTGCTACCGAAGCGCTCCATATCTTCCACTAGGAACCCAAGGGTCAAATATTAAAAAATAAAAAACCATTTAATTAATCAGTTTGGATTTAAAATGGTTTCCAATTTATCCTGACACCTCTGCTACATATTTAGACGGCTCATTACTTGAGTCAGCTGCACGTTTGTTAGAATAATTTCCCTTACGAACTTTATAGTACCATGAATCCAACTGAGATTATTAGTTTTCAGTAGTAAGCCATTAATTTCCACTTACTTAAAAACGTCTTCATTTGATGCATTAAATCTTTTATGAATTTGTTTATCTTATAATTATGTCTACTGGTTTCTTAACCTCCTAATAGGTCTAGTTTTGATCAATGCGATGACCTTCCTAATGTAATGGAATATGTTCAATATCACTGGCGATTATGATGAGGTAGGGTAGTAGTCCCAAAGCCTCAGTGGGGATAACAAACGGATTGATAATGGAATATTTTTTCATCGAAATACATAGAATATGTACAACAGGCGTGACTCAACACCTGTCCCAGATATTTCGATAATTTTACTTGCCTGTATCTCAAGGAAGAACTGAGAATTAGAACTGTACATACTGTTTTAGATTTACCTTGATCTCACTATGCGCAGTAAATTGTGTCCAAAATAATATCCAGGAAGCTGCTGTTTTATTGTATGATCCAGGTGAATAACCACCTAAGACCGTGCCACTCAATATATACGATTTTTATTGTTTTACACACTGCATAGTTCGAATTTTTTACTACTCTTCTAACTGTTTGTCGAAATTCTTTTGTTCATGTAATTTTTATTCCTTCGTTTTTTGCAGTCTATTTCATTTCGTCTTTGTTGCATTATTTTGATTAGCAATACAATTTCTACCAATGCTGGCATCACAGCAAACTTTAAAATTAGCTTACAAACCATCTATCAGGAAAAGTTGAAGATTAAAATTCAATCCTTTGATGCCCAGTGCATATGAAAGTATCTGAAAGAAGATAAAACATATGCTCATTTTTTATAACTCCCAATGAGACAGAAACGCATAACTTTTTGAAAAATGCAGTTCTTCCTGACAAGCCACTTTCTCTTTCAAATGAGGAACTTAAGGAATTGCTTGAAAATAATTTTCAGATGAAGTGTTTCAAAAACATGGTGACCTTAGCTCCCTCAGCTTACCAAGCCTCTGGTTGAGAAACGAGTAGTTTTACCCTTTATCTGTAAGTTTGATTGTTCAAGTGTAAATTTGACGACATTGAAACTCAGTGAGCAATTGACAAGCCTTCGTAAGCTTAAAAATCAGCTAGCAGGAAGTATCATATACGTTTCAAGCTCCCAAAGATCCTCCTATTCCCTTTTAATATATCAATACTGGATATTAATCACAGTTCAGATCACACCCAAAGAAATTCTATCCAAAATTTAGAATACCTTGACCTAACAACAGAATTTATTTGAGTTTGACCATTTTCGTATGACGAATCACACAAATAATTGAACATTTTAAACATTTTTAAACAAATATCTGGCACTAAACCATGTTATTCATGTAGGAGTTACGTTTTAAAAATGAATTAGCGTTTTTGCAATGTTCAGTATCATAAATGTGGGCATATAATTACATTTCATGGGGCTTCGGAGTTGAGGACTGCCAAGGTTTCAAATGTTTTCTTTGAATGATGAAATAAAATGGAGTCTTTGTTCATTTTGTCAGTCTTATCTGGTGACGACTGCTCAACGAATTCAGGTAAGACTTCTTCACTAATGATCAATACCCGTATTACTGAGTTCACGGTACCACTGGGAACCCAATGGACGTATTATAATAGTTATGAGAATGGTAAGAATTCTGCTTCTGCAGTTACACATGAAATTGTGAAGAAAACCAGACGTAAAATTTGGAGGGAGTTCGCCAATCTCTGGCTATGTCAGGAAGGAGTTTCTAATCATTTAAGCTAGCCCTGTACAATAATGTCGTCGAGATATTCAAAATACGAAAACAGACGGAAACAGGTTTCTGTGACAACAGTTGACGAAATTGTATTTAACTCATGAATGAGCTTTCTGGAGGTTCGTGGAGTTTGATTGATTTTAGGGTGGAATTCATCACGAACTGATATCACCTGTAGAACCACTGAAAATCTGGGAGCATTGAATAGCTGTTTCGTTCTAATATGGGACTACTCAGCAATGATGAATACTACGCAGAAACCAGTCACATCCCCAGAAACCTCCTGAGTGAATAACCATTGAGTGCGGATTAGTGAATTGTTTCGGGATGAGACTTACTAAAGTTCAACTGAGAAGTTGTGACTGGTGGTGAAAACCAAGTCAGACGTCAGGATAACTAGTCAACAATGTCACTGAATTAAGGTTGCGCTTTATCGTGAACTGACAGAAGTAGAAAAATATGGACGGCGGTAACGGCCATGGATTCCATCCCTTGCTCTGCTGGGCCGTGGGTGTGCACTGCTAAGGGGTGCCATACCAAGAAAAAACTTCTATTCAGTGCTCCAGGGAAATTATTGGTTTTCCAACTGATGTTATTCCATGATGATCACTACCGTGAAATCGCCTTCCTGCCAAAAGTATTTATTATGTTTGGTTTTATATGAAAATTTCGAGGTATTAATAAGTGATTCGAGGAGCGTTTTATGACTGCAGAAGTCAGAAATTTGTCGAAACACACGTTTTCGCTTGTGTAATACTGACAGTGACTGTTGAACCACAGAGTGTTTGATGACGTATTCGAATTATTTACGTTACAGAGTTATGTAATCCTATATAACTCGTCATCAGCTTTGAGATTAAGGTTTTTAATTTAATCAACAGACAACGGAGATTTGTTAGTATCAGTCAGGGCTATAAAGATATTGAATATAAGACTACTGAGTCATTTCTTCTCATGTTCAAAACCTACAATAATCTAATCATTGGTATTCCTGTACGTCTGTATTCAGTTCGATTAAATAGACTGAAATATCAGGCTGTGAAAAACTGACATGAAATCTGAGTTACTAGCCCTTGAAATCAAGCTATCAACACACAACCTTTGACTTGATACTTCAAGTGCTCTGTGATTGCTGACATGTCTAACCTTTAAAACTTTGGTTACATGATGACTAGCTGTCTGTTTGACGTATTGACTTAGCGGTACTTTTAAAATACTTATTTACAAAAGACTATTCAATAAAACTTTATAAAATCAAAAATACATGTAAGCAGAATTACTTCTGACTACATATTTTATGATTTTTAATCTATCTATTTTGTATCTTTAAAATTTCTATGAGTATTAACGTGACTACTGTCAGACCTGACAATCTTGAATTCAAATTATCCAGGGGTCTTGGGTGATCAGTAATAAGTCTATAAGTAGAAGAAAACAATTTTTTTGCACTTCCACGTTCTCAATGATTCTTCAACTAACGTTAGTTCATGGTAAAAATTGATCTCTGTAAACTGTTAGTTGAGTTCCATATTTTCCTAGTGCTTTTTCCTGTTACATCTTTAGAAAAAATATAAATCATAATTTTAATAAAGGAAATTATTCGATTGTTATATTAGTTAGTACTTTCAAAAAGATATATATATATATATATATATATATATATATATATATATATAATTATTGAATAATTCATCGAGATAAATTTTATTTTTTCGATGACTAAAGGTGAATTATTTTGCATTTGATTTAATTGATATTATGAACTCTTTATCAATAAGGATATAATCATTAGACATATTGTTATATTCATTTTTAGTGATAGATAAATTTTTCCGAAGAACCGTTTAGTTTGACATAGGATGCTTCATTATTGTGAAATTATTTTGTCCATCTGAAAATGAAAAGTATGTCTTAATTTCAGAAAATATGTATCACAGAGTAAATTAGATAAAACGTTTGAAGATAAATTCGGCATTATCACAATACGGATTAATACAATTCAACTAGTAGTTGAAGCCAGAGATTGGCTTTAGCTTTCATCTAGTCGACATTCATGTACCTAACATGATTTGACTTAAAATCCCCTCCAACTAAAACAAAACAACAGTGATACCTATGATATTTAGTGACAAGGTTTTTTTTAAATATAAGGCGTTCTGTAACGTTTTTGCGGACTTGTAGTGTTCAAAGTCATCTTGGTGTTTCAAAAAGAGCAGTCTCATTGTTATCTGAAAACTATAGGTTCTGCTTTGAAATGCTAACTCAAAGACCAATAAAAGATAAAGAAGTTAGTGTCAAGCTTACTGAAGGTGTTTTCATCCTGGCTAATGCTGCTTTCTTTGAACTAGATGGTTAAATCGTGAGGCTTTCTTTGTGTTTCTAGACAACCGCATCAATACTTTTTTCAGCATAAATGTGACTGTAAGGATTTTTCAATGTAGTTAATACTAATGACGTTTGGAAAGATAATGAAAGCTTCTCTAGCAAACCACTTATTTCAGAGAATTTAGCACCACCAAGGTTGTTCATCTGAGTTACAAATATTCTTCATTATTTCCAAGTATCCTCATCATCTGTTCACCGGATTGCTGTGTTAGCAACATTTTTGTTTATATTTCGTATCCGAATCCTAGTATAAGTAATAACTTGGTTATCAATAGGATTAACAGTGGGATTAGGGTCAGGAATTACCCTCACTGGAAACAATATGAATGAATCGACTTATGGTAGCATAACGTACGTAATTTAACAAAAATGTTTGGCATTCACTGGATATGAGGGTAGAAAGCTAACTGAATTCAATAGGATAAAATCAAGGAAAGAGGGAAGATTCCAGTAAAAAGAAGTTTTTTATGACGAAATCATTCTCTTAACTTACAGTTTGTGATTATATATAGGGAAACGACTGTTAATATTCATCAGTAGAATATTTTTTTCTGCCAGTGTTAGAATTGTATTTTCCTGTCAGAAACGCATTCGTCATTACGTGAAATATAAACTAGGGCGTTGAGTTACATCAATGTGTGATTCAGCTCACTTGCTACTGTGGGACCGAGTACACCGACTATACCATGTGCTAATTTATGAAGCGTACTTGCAAACACTACCCGGTTGGACTTATAAAGGAAGGACGGGAATACATCTTCAGTTCTGCAGCAGAACACTAAGTCAACTCGCGACTCTTTTTGATTAGTTCTTCAAAGTTTTGTACAAAGTATGACGAAATCACTTGAGAGAAGTAAGGCTATAAAATCGCAGCATAGCTGAAGCAATAGTAATCCCAAAGTTCAGACCATCAATGCGCATTCAAAATGAATGTGTACGAATTCGTTATTTTCCATGGCCTTCGAAGAGGATCACTCACACTAAATAATTCCTTTGATATAACCCTATTTTATTCTACAATCGTCTGTTGATTTCCCTACTTCAAACATCTACATTCGTACATATATTACGTAACCTTCCTTTGTCAAGCAGTGTGTTTTGACCTTTAGCCGAAAATGCTTTATTGTTTCGACTATATATTTCCGTGAATGACTTCGTCGGAAAGAAAATTTCCCTTGTCTGCAATCGTCTTTTCTGTTTAATATAAGTGTAAAACTTGGGATTGTGGTAGAATGTAATTCCATATTAGATTTGTTTATTTGATTTATAACAGACAGTGATAAATTATTATTCAGTTGATGAAGCTTCCAGCATAGATTATTGTTCATACTTGTATCAGTGCAATCACACTACTTTCAACAACTGATTTTTATAGTCCTGTCACCTCATATTCTTTGTTTTTTTTTGGTGGTAAAATTTTCTATATCTCTGGTATGAGTTTGCGTCATTCCTATTGCGTGTGTTGGGTGTAGATTCGATGAACAAAGATTCAGTAATCAATCTCTTCAGCTAATTATATCTGACAGTACAGTGGTTTTATCTCACCCTATTGTATGATTGTGTGTTAATGGATGAATTGCAATGGCCAAGTATTTTTCTAGATTATTGATTTTATTTAGATCTGTCATTCCATATTTAATTAAATTCCTATGTTCTACTTATCTAACAGACCCCGACCGCCTAGTTTGACCTATGTATTTGATCTTGCAGTCACTGAGTGGGACTTAATAGATCAGATTATTTTGCTGAACTGATTTTATCGGATCCTTAAGCCGACAAAGCTTATTTCCAAGTGACTTTGTAAGTTTAAATGCCACCCTAATTCCTACATAAAGTTTCTGATGTACCTCCCTTATAGGGTAACAGAATGGAGGCTGTGAACTCCTTTCTACTCATGTTGTCGTTATTATTCGTACTCCTTTTATTGTTAATTTTTAGTCTCTTGTGTGTTCAAACGAATCTCTTCATAAACTGTGGAGGATAGTTATTAACTATTGGAGTTTCTTTTAAGTCCTTCAATTCTTTGTTTCAGTCCTTGCACTGACTAGTGAGTTTTCTAGCGTATCATTTAAACATTTGACTAAACCTGCCTTAACTGACATTGGATGAGATGACCTGAAGTCTAGATACCTGTTAAACTGCCAGTTTCCTGTACATGATAGTATTTAAATCATGATTTGTTCTTCATTTTATCCTAGAATCCAACATAGGTAATTCATCTTATTTATTTTCTACTTCGTAAGTGGATTGGACTGCGTCTACTACTGAGTTTATATGTGTTTAATCCTGCACCTAAGATATGCTGTCGATTTCTGGATGACATATTTACTGTGTCGAAATTGGAACATATTGACAATTTCTTCACACATAAGATGTTTGTATCTATGGTCTACTTCATGAGAACCCATGTGATTTTATCAGTAGATACTTCTATAGAGTTTTGTGACAATAAAAAATCCTACTTGTGTGTAAAGAGATAAAATTTGTGAAATCCTGCTAGTTGTCCAATTTAGGTGTTTTCTATAGATAAAAATAAATAAAATCTTATGAGAAGCCATTCTCTTAAGGTCATAGCTTCTGTGAAACTATGGATGAGTTTAAAGGTCACTCTAACAACTGTGGAGATGACCAACTACTTTTCCTTATTTTACGAAAAACGGTCTTCATTGCCGAAATATTAAAACCTGACTGGTCATTTCATCAGTTTCTAGTGTGGCCTTTAAGCTACTCCAAAACTCTTCATAAGGTGGTTTGGATAAGAAATTAACCAGTTAAACCAGCTGAAAATATAATCTTCACTCTTTGCTTGTGAAAACAAGAGCGAAGAGCTAATACACCAAGGCAGATTTGATAAGTCTTAGGATTACTAGTCTAGTGAGGCCCACAGTATCCCAAGAATGTTTGACAATCGTACGGCAACAGATTTTTCATAACCCCTATTTTATGCGTTAAAGTGAGGTTTTATTATTTGATGTTTTAGTATTGTGTCTGACCACAACAGTTGTTCTTGATGAAGTTAAACCTTATTTATATCGCGATGTTCGCTATCATAGAAAGGTATGAATTCAGTTGACATTCTCGCAGATAGTGAGAGATGAAGTGTCCGTTGGTTAGCCAGTCAATATCAACATGAGATTTGTGATTACATTATAATGGTTCATCTTTTAACATCTCATCCAAGCATGTCAAGATACAAGAACAGGACAAAAAATAAAGAAATAGAAGTAGCATGACCAAAGGTCGTAGAAGTCCACAAAGCAAAACAGAGATGTAGAAGTTAGTAAGGGTAAGAAAATGAGGCTAACTAGTCTTAAAAGTCAGTACAGTCTTTCCAAAAAGATGAAGTGATTTACAACAAAATGACTATACAAAGAAGCTAACTGATGACTCTATATACTGTGGTCTGAAACTTCTAGGGTCTCATACGCCTTGTTCGTATGATACAGCCAAGATAAGTAAGCGGAATGCGCTTATGAGAGCTATACTAACCATTATTAACTCATTTCATCACAAGACCGTTCACTGGATTCCAGAAAAGTTGAAACCTACAAATTAGCCACTGGTTGCAGATAACTTGACGGAATCAATCGAGTTCGTTAGGAATGCACATCAAATTAAAATCTCTGATGAGTTCATGGTGTTATTTGATACATTGCCTTTTCGCATGAAGATTCCTATTTTTGAGACTATTGACATAATTAGTCAGTATCCTGACCTCCTTACTTTGCCAATTTCAGAATTCAGATGTTTGCTGGTAATGTTTACTAAAGACGTTAAGTTTGATGACACTATATACCACCGAAATGATCGAATAGCAGTGGGTAGTTTGTTGAGCCAGTGTTGGGAACTATCTTCACAGCTAACCTTGAGAAGACAAAGTTTAGACATCAAATCGATGAAACCGTGTCTTATTCCAGTTATGTCAACAAAACTTTTGTCGTGTGAAAAATCCTACTTCATGCATCTTACTTACCAGAACTCTCCATGATGCAAGTGAAAAGATTGAGGTAATCATAGAACGTGAAGACAACCATAAGTTCAGAACTTAGGAAATCGCTTTGCGATGAAGAATGGATGGAACTCTTCAAAAGTCCATTCATCAAAAGAGCACATGAAATTGACTATACCCAAATTTTAACAGCTTTTTTCAGACAGCTTAATGAAAAACTTAG